ACCGAAGTTTTTTCTGCTAATAATAAACTGCCCACTAACGGCAGTGGCCAAGCAAAAAACACCAAGTAACAAGTAAGACCACTTTCGTATTGAGCCTGCAGTTGCAATTACTCTCTTTGAAGGATAATCTGCATAACTTATTAGTGTTAAATTAAACCTGCTATATAGAAGAAGTCAGGACTTTAAATATTTATATTTTGGCGTGCTTTCCAATTTATTAATGACGGAGTGATGACGCACGAGAAAATTAAAGGGCATAAAAAAATTTGCCAAATTAAGTTATATATCTGTCTCGGATTGAGCAGAAACTAGTACAAGTAGTGAATCTGGTTTTACTTGATGTTGTATATAATTTGACGAGAAGACGCGTAAAATATCGCGGCAGCAGGTCACACATTTTTATTGTCTCTTTATAGAAAGTTCAATTTTTTTTATATCTTAAAACAGAAAGTTGTCTTTGACTCAAATTAGTAAAAATTCTGTCAAATTTCATGTAAAGTGATTTGTTTCCAAGTCCAAAAGCTCCCAATTAGATGTTTGGCCATTTTTTTTTTAGCTCGACATCAAAATTTCGTGATGCAATACATTAACCAGCTTGTAAAATAGAATAGTATAGTTTTATATTATCTGTGCTCTGTGGGAGTAAAAATATCTATATAATTTAATAAAGAAGATCGCATGTCAGCATCCACTAACACTAACAGCCGCCTGGTTTGTTTGATGGACGCAAGAAAAAAATCAAATTTATCAGAAAATAATTTATTATTCTTCAGAGATTATTTAATAATCTTTCGTAAAAAACCCAAACTCGCTTGGAATCTGATAATTGGCACTTCTTTGGGTGAAAATTAAGATCACTCACTTTTTTATGCCGGCAGTTTTATTTGAAAGCGTTTAAAACATTTCGGCAGAGAATTTTCCGCTTGTTTAAAAGTCAAACAACTCACGGATGTGATAAAATCTCACCTATAGAAATTTTTCGCAACTGCCCGTGGATATTTTCTCGCCGTGTACATAATTCATGAAATGGTTCAAATACTTTTCAACTCGTTAAATCCCCACTTTTTCCAATTATTTGGAGAAGAAACAGCGGCTGGTCAGTTGCCGTGAGGAAATTAAATATACGAGGCCAAAACACCATCCAACTTCAGTTTCGCGCTGCTGGAAGTCTTTGGGCGCCGAATAAATAAATAAAATCAGGCAACACTCGACGAAATTGGTTTGCTTTGATCCGGCGCTCTCATTATTCAGGTGGGTGGGTTTTATTTATAAATCAAGACGACCGCGCAGCGTGTATTGGTTTTTTGCTGTATGTGTTATATGGACAAGTGATGCGTGTAAGAAACGCGGGAGCAAATTTATATATGAGATGGTGTGTGCCCAGCATCAACCCATCATCACCACTGGAGCGTTAAGTCTGTCGGTTAAAGTATTTTAATTCATCAAAAATTTATAAATTGATGAATTGTAGTTAATTTTCATTTTTTTAATATTATTTATTGAGATATATTAAAAAATTTCAATATACAAATATTTAGTCTTATAAAAATGGTAAAAATTATATATAAAAATTAAGTTATTGATATTAATAAAATTAAATGAAAAATGCAGTCGTTCATCAATTAGAATCATTTGTTTACCGACATGATTAAAGGAATTTTGTAAGAATTTTTTAACATATTTGTAATTATTTCTCAATAATTTCATGTCGAAATTATTTCCAGCAACATCTGAAAGCATTTTACAAAGAATTGTTTTCGCTTGTCTTGTAGTAATTGGACCAATTTTAATTTGAATAAAATTTCCTCTTCAAATATTTATTTTTGGAAGTATTTCTCTAGGTGAACAGTAAAATTTGGCGGCTTTAGTTGCTTTACAGCGATTTTTATCTGCTCCTAAAGAAGATTTGATTACGATCCGCAGCCCAGGAGACCCTCTCCGATCATTTTCATTAGTATCCACTCGCGTGTGATTATTTTCCTGGTGCGCGTCTTGGGCCGCGCGGCTCGCTTATCATGTGGTCATCTCTCGCTCTCCTGCGTGTATAGAAAAGTGTGGGGCTTTTTTATGCTTTTTGTGCCGGGGTGCGCGAAGGACATTCCACTCAAAATAGATTCCTTGAACTTACTGTACTTTTTTGTGCACCGTCTCGCGAGAGGATAAAGCACGAAATACACGCTGCACAAAGAGGAATTGTCCGGTAAGGTCTGTGTCTTGCGGAGCAAAAGACCAAAAGAATAATAAAAGGCTCCCAAGGGCGCGCGCCGACAATTGAAATTGGGGCTCTTTTGTTAAATGCGGTTTGATCAGCTTGATACTGTAATTATTTCTTCTTTTCAGAGGGTATGGGATGCATTTTTTTTTATAATTATTTTGAATTGATATAGTCACAATAGCTTGGCCCATGCGATTTTATTCCTAGATTTTCCCTGAGCAGTTCCACAATAAAAATATAAATTCTGCACATAAAATATTCATGCCAATCAACAAATCGTATTTCATCTCTGTTATTCATAACGTTCGCGAATTCCAGCGCGAGTGCAAATAATGACAGTTAGCCCGATCGGCGGGACATAAAACTCGCAGAGGGTAGCCCACTAAAGAGTGGAATTTTATTTCACCACCTCCAATTTGATTCGGACAACCGTGCTGACAAACATTAATAAATAACGGCGTGAATTCCAAATCAAAATCATCGCCGGGCCCCATGCCGTGTTGATTTACCGCGCACTAAAAAATTAAAACATCAGCGGACTCATAACAATCACATTATTAGGGTACGTGTCCGCAATTTGTGCAGCAGGCAGGCCCTCTTGAGCTGCGGGGTGGAATGGAATAAAAATATTCACAATAAAAGCAAAAGCAGGCGCCCAACCCTCTCGAAAAAAAAATAGAAATAAATATAGACACGGCGCTTCCAACAGAAGTCAAAACAAACAGAATTCGGGCGTATAACGAATCGAATTTATTACACCGGCAGCGAAATAAATTCCGAGACAAAGGCCCTAAAAAAGCGATAAATCCGACAGGCGGGTATTCGAAAGAAGCTGCGGTAATTAGCCATACCTGCGTAGGAGGCCTTTCTTCGTCAGGGCAGACCTTCGGGACCTAGGGGGTGGCTCGGCGGGGGGTTGTCCACACAATTACTAATGAGGCGGCCAAGGTCGCACTTCGAGAGATGTGCCAAATGAATTGGACCGTTTTTTTACGATTTCACCGCTGGGCACTTTAATTGGGTGTTTGGAATTGCTGCGTTCGCGAGCAATTTTTCATTGATATGAAAAAGTAGGTGGAGTGGGAATATGAGCGCGCAGGCTATTTTAATTGCCGGCTTTTGACAAGGAATTTTTACGACATAGTTGGTCTAATACGTGAGTTTATTCTAATTGCCGGGCTAATTAATTTAATTCAACGGAATGATCCGGGAGTCAGCCAGACAAGAATTTCATCTATTTGACTAATTAATCTCAAAGACGTCCGCGAGGTCGCCCTTTTTTATTGCAATAATTTCCCTCTCGTCTCGCGCACGGAATTGCTTGGGAGAAAATTGAAAAAGCTTGTTTTTATTTGAAAGACAATTCTTGAAAATATATGACATGGTCATGGATGGGACAATAAAATTGTACCGAGACGGTTGAATTGTCCGAAAATTTATTACCGCGAAACGCTCCACCTGAAAATCATTAAAAAAACTTCTTCGACGCTCGCTTTTCTATAATTTATATAGTTTCGCGTGCTCCTAGTTGAAGTTAAATACTTTGAATTATTAAAAAAATTATTCCTCCTTGAACGCAAACACGAGGCAGCCATTAAAACTTGTGTGAAAAAGAGCTCTCGTGCAGTGTCTCGCGAGGTAATGTTAATTTATTGCCCAACCGCGGCCACACGGGCACCCATGGCAATTAACAAAATAATAATTAGCTCGCACTTGGCGGCCTAATTGCAATTATTCCCTCCCTTGTAAAAAGACTGCCAGGCACGCTCGAAATAAAATATAAAAAACCGCTCGTTTTTTTTTGCTTTTGGTATTCACGATGAGCACCCGATTATTATTATCATTATTTCAGACCAGTTTTCGTTCGGCATTGCAATTTTTCCGCTCTCGCAGGTTCGATGAGCTTTCTTTGCTTCGGCGTCTCTGCCTCCGTATATATATTATTAATCCTTCACGTGCTATGTTTTTTGTGCGGCCCTCGCGCCGTCCGCCCGCCGATCTCTCACGCTGTTTAATCATAGTTTCAGGGAATCTGCGGAATGGGCCGTTTTTGCTCCAAATTTGTGTCCGCCTGCTGCGTTCGGAGATTGATGTTGTGGGTGTCTGTCCATTTCCAAGCTGGTCATGCGAGGCGCCCTCAAAGTTTTTTGCTGCCAAATCACCGACAGGGAAATAGCCGTGTTTTGGGGAATTTCTAGATCGATGAGATGTCAGAGATTTTCAGTGGAAATCCACAACCGCGAAGAAATTTAACAGAGAGACGCGTGATGATGGGGATATTCGTTAAAGCAAGCCCTTCATAGGATTCATAAAGAATGAATTATTGCTTGTGAACTTATGGAACACAATCAATAAAATTTAATTATTTTAGTTTACAATATTTATTGGAAACAAACATAATAATAATAATGAAAATAAATAAAGCAATGGTCATTGCTGGATTATATTTGAATATTTCCAAAATTAAATTATTATTATAATTATTATTTCCTCTTTAAATTATGCATCACGGCTTATTTAGTTGATTAATGTCATTAAAAAACGGATATTATAATTTTTCTGCAAAAAAGTTGGCCCTTATATAATTAAGTCATATCTTTTAATCTATATACACAAGCGCATTTAGATGTCATAAATGTATTTAGCTGTATTAGTGTCCTGATATTTTTATTATATATCATTATTTTTTTTATCTTATCACTGCAATACTATTCGTTCAATTCTGCGTCTCTTGGTTAAGTCATGAGATAAAAAATGACGCCACTTACATTGGGATTTCATAAAAAGTAAGGAGAGCTCACATAACTTCAAAATAATACTTCAGTACATGACCATCATTTTCAGCAGAGTTCAACTTTTTGCCGGCCTTAACCGTTTTAAAGGATTTTGAATATTTCCTAATCGACAACAATTGAAGAATTTGAGTATAACAACACTTTTTATTCCGCAAAATTTTCCCCGCCTCAGCAGCTATAAAGTGGTAAAACAAGAATAAGTTGGGCACTTTTACGCTGAAAAATTTTAGTTTGATAAGACTTGATCAGACTTTTGGAAACCCAGGAATTCAACATACGTAAATACTTCACCATGGTAGGATAATTGCACGGATTTTTTTTTATTTTAATCACCTAATTTTTGTTATTATTTGTTAATTATTTGTATTGAATATCAGAGTTGTGCGAACCTTAAAAATCTATTTTTTTCCATTCATAGCAATCAGCTCATAAGAAAGAAGAATGGCGCACAGGAGATTGGCCTTCTGACCTTCTTCATCTATTTGAATCCTCTGCAATGTATGACTGCACTTTCCGCGTGGGAATCTCAAAATAAAAAAATGCAAAAGTAATTGGCTGTTTTTGGGAAAAAATTAGCATAAAAATTAATCAACTTTTTAATAAAAAATTATACACCGCACTTAAATAAATGGTATAATCTATTTAATTTTTTTTTTTACAGATTTTCAGGTGCCATAAATTTGTCTTATCTGTTTCAAGCAAAGTTTTTGAAACCATGTTTCACGGAAACTTTAAAGAGGCAAGAAACAGTCCTGATGATGAAATTCTAATGGACGATACAGATCCACAAGTTTTTGAGGTTGCCATGAGGTAGGAAGAATAACATTTAAATTGTTTTCAAACTGAGTTATAAAAAATCATTGAATCTTCAAAATGGAATATAAATCCAAATATTAATTAACATGAATATACATGAAAGGTTTATCTATGGACGGAAAGCATATTTTCAAAACGCTATAATTGCTGCTTTGGTGTGTAAATTTGCACACAAATGGCAAATTGACAACCTGATGAACGCTGCAAACTCGTTTATTTTGTTGAAATTGTCGCATGAATGGGTAACAGCAGTGCCAGTTTACGAAATTCTCAAAAACGTTGGAAACAAAGAAGTCTTGGTACGGTGCATGGAGGTGATACTATATTTTATTTTCTTTGCGTATTATTCGCGATGATTTTTTTATAATTTTTTTATTGCATAGGTGATTTCAAGTAACACAAGAGAAGTGGTAACAAGTTCCACTTGGGAAAATGCATCCTTAGACCTTGTCATGGACGTGTTGAATCAGGAGCAACTGAGCATAGACAATGAGTGTGACTTGCTTGAAGCCCTTGTTCAGTGGGGGAAAGCTCAAGTGCAAAAAAGGAATGAAGAATTATCAGATTCCAAGGTAAGGGAGGTCATCAACAAACCCCTCAAGAAGATCCGTTTCCTCTCAATGGAGCACCAAGATTTCGCAAGTTTTTGCTCAAAAACCGATACCAATATTTTCACTTCGGACGAAAAGTGGAACATCATTATGAGTATTTCAATTAAATCAGCAAAAGACTCTTGCCAAAGAACTTTAGCACTGTGGAGGACAACATATTTCTATTGGAAAATGCATTCTGGATAAAATTGGAAGGACAATTTATTGGCGGTTATTTTAATATTTGTCTTGATTTAGAGTTCAACACAAACAAAAACGTCAGATTAGTAGGATTTCAATTCATACCATTCACCCACTTTGATAGCAATTACAAGCCAGAGGCTCAAATTTTTATTACTAAAAACGGCGAAAAAATCTATGAGGGCACTACTAAAAATTATGATCAGAAATTTAAGTTATACGAAATACAAAATCACCTTCCAATCTCAACAGGAGTCCAATACAAAATAACAGTAAACTTTTTGAATTGGAAAAGTCAATGGTGTAAATCAAATTTAACGTTATTTCATTCTTCAAAAATCATAACTCAAGACAGTTTAACAGTTCGACTTTCTACGGATGTAAACTCAACTGGAATCGGAACTCTGATTTTTGTATAAATAGTTATTTTTGAATTCTGAATCTGCAAGTTTCATAATAGAGAATTGTTTATCTCTAAATTTATCCATATTTCTAAATATCTTTTTACAGAGGGATTTTATTCTAGATTTTAAAATGACATATGAATGTCTTGGTTAAATACACTGTAAAATTGTATTTTTTAGCGATCATTTCATACAGGTAAAAATTTACTGATTTTTTTATTAATTTTCATTGTGTGAAGACCGTAATAAAAACGTAAAAATTGAGCTTTTTTTAATTTTACTCAGTATTATGGACCGTATCATCACCTTTTGCAAATTCCGCTATAATTTCTATCTATATAGTATACATATTACGGATTATGGTTTTAATTTTATGGTTTCAAAAATATTTTATCAGAATTTAGACGGGAAAAACTACAAGAGCATACAGCTTACTGCTTGATTTTTAATCTTTAGTAACATTATGATTTTTTTCTTCTCCTAAATATCTTTTGTTAGATGAGCTAAAAAATTTATTGCGTTCTAAAAATGACAACAGATAAATAATCAAAATAAATAGAATCTTTGGTCAGCATTATATAAAATTTTGCTAGCAAAAATGTTCTACAAATTGCTCCAAATTCCAAATATAATAAATTTCTTATTGTTTGTTACTTTACGGCAAAATTACAATTTAATATTTATGTAAAATATATGCGTGTCATTGCATGCTGCGTGCTACTCTGCAACAATTAATTATCTGGATAATTCACATCTAGACTGGGGAGCACCAGCAAATGAATTCACTTGGTTGATCCTTTTTATTTTTTAAAAATTGTGTTTAACTTACGGTTTTGAGATGTAACGTCACTTAAACTTTCAGATTTTTTTTGCAGATCTTTGATATGCTTTCATGTGAATCGCCAGGGCTAATCTAATGCCAAGAACAAAGGCACCGACGAATTAGCAAGAAAAAAGGTGACAAATCTCATCATCCTGATGTTTTTCCCTCATCAAGATTCAGGCTGAAATAGCGCAAATCTCCTCAGGGCATGATTAGAGCCGAGTCCAAGTCTGCGCCACAAAATCAGCTGTGTAGTCGCGGCTCTGTCGGAGCCACACGCGGTGTCGCGTGCCTTCTCGCGTTCGCACCCAAAAAATCCCCATCGCGGCGTTGCATGCAGAGAGATTAAATTATTTTACTCCGAAACTCTCGTTTATTTATTCAAATTAGCACTCTCATTGTCTCTTGCCCATTGTAATTTAGGCGCACGAGAGAGAGATAAAAGCGTATCTCTATCGCCAGCATCTCAGTCAGTCGGTTTTATTATTTAATGATTGCGTGGACTTTGCGGTGCCGAAAACGCGCGCGCGTGAAACATGAAAGAGACGGAATTGTATTCAATGCAAAGTGATCTTGTGTTTCCAATGCAAACGGTGTGCGTAATTGCTTGTTTGCATCTTGCCAGATTCCAACATACCCAAATTAAGGAGATTATTTGCGTCTGTGTTTGTTTTAGTTTAGGCTCTGCATATAAACACATAAAGAGAGTCGTTTAAAACGGCGTAATGATCGCATTCTTTCTTTGTGAGATCTCCTGGATTGTATAATTTGTGGACCCGGCCGGCAGCATCTCTGTTTTCACGTTGAAATTATATAATTGCATCTCGTAACTGAATAATATGGAGCAACGAACTTTTTATCTTCAGGAAGAAAAAAATAAACAAAAGTAATTGCTACTTTGAAAAACACAACAAAAGAGCCCATTTAATGCTTTATTATTTTAATTTAATTGAAAAAGAATTAATTCTAATAGTTCTTGATTTATCTGATGCCAGGGTGTGATATTAAAATTTAGATATTTGAAAATTTCTATCATAATATCATAATCAAAAGGATAAAAAACATTGCGATTGAACTTTTCAGAAATATTATAGGGAAAAGTGAAAAGAAATTAAGAGTGTGCACTTTTCTTACTCTCAACCGCGGCGCCTTTATATATTTATATTTTTTGTTTGTCTTTTTTTTTGTCGGCTGCACTAACATGTAGTGGGCGCGCAATGGACTTATTCTCACCGAAGGAGTCGTCAGATGGACGGATGGGTGATCTGGATGATACCCTTTGCCTTTGCTTCGGATCGCGGCGCTGGCAATAAAAAATTAACTCACACGCGATTCCCTCGAGTAATAAGCAAGCAGCCGACGGCGTTTATTCCACAACACTAGACATGATCGTGATTTAGTTGGCATCGCAGGAATTGACCTTGGGACACACAAAATAGTAGCTGCGGCATATTAGAGAGGAGGCGCGCGAGCGAACGACGCTTTTTTATATTAATCTAATTTTATATTCCGCGAGAGGAGATTTATTTTTTCGAGCGAAAACCCGCGTATTAGGGAGATGATGTTGTGCCTTTTATTTATTTTTGCCAGGGTGGTTATCAACGAGCTGAAGAGACGGAGAGCTTCAAAGGCGCGGATTATTATGTATTCTCTAAGTGGAAGCGGCTTTATAATTTCTGTGCTGACCCTTCCTTCGTTCGAATCAAAATATTAATAGGCATTAGGCAAAATCCGTCATCCATCAAGTTGCGGGCCGGGCGGCGACTTGATGGAGAGCGTGTTTTATAGGCTTGGTCACATGACGCGAATTTGAAATCGTTTTTCATCAAAACTCAATTTGGCAGCAGTTAAATTAGGCTGGGAATAAATATGAGAAGCCGATTACAGTGAATTAGCTGACGTGAAGAATACACATCAGGTCGTTAAAAAAATATTCATCATTTGATATGTGTTGATATAAAAAAGATTATATTATTTGATCAATAAATCTGGATTCTATCTTACAAAAAAAAAAAAATCATTTTAACTTGTGCATCAAATATCTGCTTTAATTTAATTTAATTTTTGTAAGTTTGGGAAAAATTGATTTGAGTATTGTATGTGAGCACATGTAAATCCATTTTTCATATAAAAAGAGTGAAAAATGCATAATTAATAATGGAGATTCCATAATCACATAAACGAGTCATGTTTACATTTTTAATATATAGATATGATATTTTTTTAATGTATTTTTGGCCCTAAAAATGGTTGGGTTCCAGTTGGAATAGAAAATTATAGAAGATAATGTGAACTAAACACGCCACGTTTCTAAATACCAAGTTGTTTTTCATTTGATAACTATCGTGTTATTTTATGGAAATGTTGAAATTTTCAAGCAACGGTTTAATGAAGAAGTGTAGCAAAATTATTGCAATAAGTTAAAACCAAATTACTAGATTTTATGATGAAACATTACATAATTAATTATGAGTTAAATGCTAAAATACATGAATAATTTTTGTTTTCTCTCAAATTTTAGTAAAAAATTAGATCAAATTAATTTTTATTGTCCTCACCAACAATATCTTCTAATATTATTCTTTTTTATGCATAAATCTTCTTTACTGTTGCTTCCCGCCCAATCCAGCCGAGAGTGACTTTGACGCTGGAAATGATGCGAGAAGCGCGCGTGGCACCTGATCCCGAAACGCTCGCGCTCTGCACCTGATTGTGACTTATTGTTGCATGTTTCATGCTTCATGCTCTGCTAAATAGACGCCGCGATCGGCCAGCAGCAATTTACCCGAGAAGAGGAATCAGTCATCAGTGCGCGGAGGGCTGCAATAATCATCTTCTCTCCAGCCATCCTATTAATGAGCCGCGCCGCTTCCGAGAAAAATAGTCGCGCGCGAGAGCACCGCCGAGGCTCGTGCCGCCGCTCGGGCCAATAAAATTCAACTCGGGGAAGTGAGAAAAAGTTTTCTTTGGTCACTTCCTCAAGAAAAATGATATGTAATAAAAATAGTGAATCAAAAAATACAAAACCAGTTTTGTTAATTTTAATAACTATTGAATTATTTATTAATTGAAATATTAATTACTGATTCTAATAACAAGTTTGATTGTAAATATATGATTTTGATGTGTACTTCTAAGTATGTTTAAAAATTGCTTATTTAATTATTGAAATTTAAAATTTTATTAAAACTAATCGTTAGGAACAAAAAATTGAAGGAAATTGTATTTACCTTATTTTAATTGAGTTATTTTTTCACTGCCCTAAAACAATGCATCGACGTAGCTTAAATGCACACGTCTGCAATTTGAATAAATTCCCGCTTAATATCAGTTTAATTTGACAGCTCAGAGCCGCGGATAATGTCGTTATTTATGCACGCAGTTCGTCGGAATCGCTTTTCTCTCTTTTCTGCCTCGTCGGGGACGGACAGCGCCTGTGTTTAATAATGATCATCTTAGGTGCCACGGACGCAAGACTTCTAAAGAAGCTGCTGCATTTTGTTATCCTCTCGTGACAGCATAATTTGAATTTGATTATAATAATGCGCCGAAATTATAATATAATAGAATCGCCACGAGCTAGCATTTATCTTTAAGGCTGGGCTAGTCTTTAGTTTTTTTGCCAAGCATTTTAAGGGTGCATAATTTTTTTTTTACTTTACAATGCTATGCTGAGAAAAGCATTTTTTATAAATAAATTCACTCAATTACGTCATTTGCGCACTAATAAAATATTTCATTTGACTTTTTATATTAATATAAAAGTAATAATAATACAAGTTAAGTTATCTTTCTATTAAGGGAATTAATGGCAATTTTTTACATAATATATTTAATTTCCATTTAAATACTAATATTAATATAAAAAATTAAAAAGTTGGCTTTTGATACTTTTTTAATTTGAATGAACAAGACAAAATAAACTTTTTATGAAATAAATAATATCATGCTGGAACAAACTGGGATTTTACCTTTTTTCTGTTACAAACACAATAAATGACTGGTGTTACAGAAAATTTTTTTTAGTGTTCTTTTAGCTTTTAATACTATTTTTAAAGAAACTTTGATTCTCTCAAAAGTCTCATGATTTTTGTAACCTATTGCACAACTCTTAAGCTTTGTTTATAGATTGAAATTCGATTCCTCCTGAGCTATAAAGGGACCGTTCGGACATCAGAAAGTAAATAACAAAACTGCCGAAGAAGCCATAAATCGAATTTAATGTTCATTAAGCCAAACAGAGAGTAAGATTAGCGTCTGTAAGAGTCAGCGAATGAACGCGACACATCATTATAATTAGAATGTCTCGCGAGCAACATTGTCCTGTTTTCAGGAGTGACATAAATTATTCGCAACACGAGCTTGCTCTGCGACGCGAGAAGAAAAACGCCGTCTCTGCTCCCGACGAAAATAAAAAAAACCCTTCGCAATAGATTTTTCTCAAATAACTCAGTCAAACGCACAGCGTGCCCTCGTATATTTTATTCCGCACGCCGATCAATGAACCAGCAGCCAAACCGGGCACCTGCTGATAAAACTTTACGCTGCTCCTTCAGACTTCTTCTTTTTTTCCTCTCTTAAACGTACACCAAAGCCAACAAATATTGGCTAATTAAAAAGAAGGAGAGTTGTTGAAGCCGATTCGCTTCTTGTCTACGACCAATCGAGCTTCGTTCGTCCGAGATGGTTCAACGCTCTGCTATCAAAATTTAACTGCCGGTGGTCGATAATTCCAACCGTGAAGGATTAGCAACGCCTCCTTTCTGCCAGCGAAAAATTTCCATCTGCTCTCTCGCCTTTATGGCTCTATCTCTGCAAAAAGCGTGCAAAATATTTTGTTCAAATTAACAGAGAAGCGGGTTTTTAAGAAGGTAATAAAAGTTACATGACACGTCCTCTGACCGAGCTCTCAAAAATTTTATATTTTAATTAAATCAGAGGAAATGTTTCAATTTTCTCTCTCTTCCTCTTTTATTATTTAATTTAATTTAATCATTTTCGTCGGTCCCATTCTCTGATCTTCATAATTATTGTTAATAATAAGCAAATGTGTTCTTGGTCTTGGTGATCATTTATGTTAGAAAAACGAAAAGCAAAATTAACAATAAGACGAAACCCAGACGATTTGAGCTTGTCTTGACCAAACAAAAACAAACACTATGAAGATTTTTCATATTTATATTTGTTGACTTTATATCAAACAGCAGTAAAAATTCACATTTTCAGCTTTATTTGAGTTTTGAATTGGAAAACTTAACTGTCTGAATAACTCAAATTTGTAATAATGATTTATGTTTTGGGATTTATACAAATTTGCTGTAAATTTGGATAAGACGATTGATATGATCCATTAATTTAATTTATATTTCAAAGTTATCAACAAAATGATTATTAAAAATAAAGCATATTATAAACGTTTGTATTTGCTTTCAGTTCTAAATTAAAGATCGACGAGTCGATTATTGAAACTTGCCAGACAATTTGGTATAATTATGGAGTTTAAGGAGTCTGATCTTTATTCTCATTGAATAATGCACTAAAAACTTCTCGACTCCAATTCTGAAGTAAATTTGTCATTAAAAATTTTTTCCCGCAGTACTTTTTGAATTAAAATTAAGTTCAGGCACGCGAGGATTTAACTTCTTGCTTATACACTGTACATTGTTGAAAATCTCGTTTTAAATTTTTTTTCTCCGCGCACGAGCTTTTGCTGCGAACAGGTGAGTAGCCTCGCCACAAAAACCGCACCGAAAGGACTATGAGCCAACAGACCCGTGCCGCTGCCGTTTTACATATTTCAATTTCCTCCGAGACAAATTTTTAGACGCTACAACACACGTATATAATCATGGTTGGAAGAGTTAGGAAGAGATGCCAAAGAGAGCGGGCGATCAATTACTCGCATTTGCAATAAAAAAGCAGCCTTGCCACCTTCAATTATTGGCCAAACGCGTACATGCAAGACTACTTCTGTATATATGAAATGATCGCGGCCGGTGAATTGCCCGAAATGAAGAAGAAAACCAGACCTGAATTTTTATATTTCAACGGCGAGAGGCAAACTAAAAAGTTGTTATTTAAATGGGCACCTGTTTGCAGATAAGCAGTGTTTTTGTGTCTGATGGAATAATGCTTTATTTTGATGGATGACAATGCAAACTGCTCAATGAAGTAAAACAAGAGTGCAATAGTAAAATCGTAAAATGACAAATCATTCAGCTGTATTCCTATCGATTCTTATTAATATTTTTTAAAGAAACACAAATTTAAGAATCCCATAGAAAAAAAATCATTTTTTTCTACTGAATGATTCAATGATAATTATTTTTTTATGTTGCTTAATAGTTAAATTATACAAATTGTCAAATTGACAGTTTCCAATTCTAAAATGGATAATATCTTTAAGACAATTTTTAAGTCAAATCAGTTAATTGTAAAGGTGCTTCAGCAAAATTATAATGCAAAATTACAAGAAATAGAATTTAAATACTCATTTCATGTCCATAAACCACATTTTTTTTATATAAATATAGCCAGATTAAAAAAAACATTCTAAATAATGAGTAAAAAATGAAATAAAATATTAAAAAGTAAATAAAATAAATAATAGCAGCTTCTAATAAATGTATAATTTTAAATAATTAATTATTTCACTGTAGCATTAAAATTTTAAAATTTATATAAGAATGCCTTTAAATTTCTTATCCTAATGTTGAGCATTGTACATGCTGGGTGCTGTGCATGAACCATAACAATAAATTATTAAAACAAAGCCGGACAGTTTTGTAAATAAAGCAAATTAAAGTGCGTGTTCGTGCGGATTTACGAGTGGAAGCTCGTCGAGTATCTACACTTTTGCTAATCCACGCACGGTAGTGAGAAACACGACGGCCTCTTGGGTGACAATCCGCCCTCGAGGCGCGGACGCGAGATTTATTTCGAATGCGTCGCGAATCATCAAGATA